ATTATTGGATTTTATATCGATCTCTAAAGCGGAAAGAAGTCGGGAACCTCCATCAAGGGGGTGGATTCTCTCTGTGGGATATTTTTTATTTATCATAAAACAAGTACGATGCTTATTATGATAATCTTTGGGAGTGTGGTTATCATCAAGTATTGGATACCAACTGTTATGAGTTGGTAGTTTCATGGTATGGGGATTAATCCAAGGTTCTTGGAGGATTAAAATTGCTGCATCTTTTTCTGAATTTAGAAGACTATGTGTGACTTCAAACGCGTTATGACAGTTAAGTTGAATAACTTTAAAGGAAGGTGATGAAGGAACTTGTGAGTATGATAAATTTGATTGGTCCAGTGTAAGATAAGAATTGTGTTTTTTTTTATTTGAGGGGGTTTTGTTGTAACTAATCATTGAGAAATGATGTTACGGCGAAAGTTCTTTGTTTTTAGCGGACATTTTAAGCTCATTGGGGAATGAAGGAAACGAGGGTTATTTTCATCTATTTCACTCTCCGGGTTGGATTCTTTTTCATTTTGGGTGCATTTAATGCACGATTCAATAGGGACATCTGTGTTACAGTCACGGGAGTTATGTGCGTCACCGCAGAATTTGCATAGAGGAGTATTCTTACACACTTGCGCTGTGTGACCAATTTCGAGGCATTGGAAGCATTGCATAGGGGATTTTTTGTAATGAGCGCCCTTAAAAAATAAGCCTTTAAAAAACAGGCCGCCTTTTTCTATTTTTTTTGCTATTTCTTTGTCAAGAAGGTTCATGATTATTGAACCATGGGCTTTTTTGTTCTCTTGGGGATTCCCCAACCAACGCATACTCTGGATGGATTGGGGAGTCATCCCATTGTTCTCTCTGCATAGGTCCGCAATAGTGGCCTTGTTGGAGGGAGTAAAAGAAATCGGGACAGTATGGATAATAACTGGGAAGGAGGTTTGGGGAGTGATTAATGCGGGATCGCATAGGTGGGTCCACTCATGCTTATGTTCGAGTAACCAGTTAGTAGCAAATCTCGTAGGTGTGAAAAACTTAACGTCTCCCGAAGGGAGTGTGATTGCACCTTTGATGACAATCGGAGTGCCATCTTCGGTTTTGGCTTCCATCTTGGAAAGGACTGAGTTCACTTTCTCAATTATTTGCGCGGGGCTTTTTTGGGCGAAGGCCTGGGCTTCTGGGACTGTCTTTCGGATAATGAAAAATGAAGGTTTGAATTCATTGATTATACGAGCACTTGGGGGAGAGCGGACTATATTGTTGATGGGTTGAGGATTTGTTTTCTTAACAACAGAGGACCAGGTGGAAGGGGAAGGTTTGGGAGGGAGGACAGATTTTGACATGGTTTTTTCAATCGCATCTAATCTAGATGTGATTCTATCCATCATGTTAAGGGTTTTAACGTTGATAAACTCTTCTACTCCAATCAATGATTTTAGGAGTTGGACTTTGTCCGGAGTAATGATGACACTGCCATCGGCTTCTGGGTTCATGATGAGTTTAGAAATGATTTTCAAAACTCCTTGGTTGTCTGGGTTGTGACGGGATTGGTTTAATGGCGGGTTGTTAGAGGTAGAGGGGGTGATAGAGTTGTCATGATTATGATTATTCATATTGGATGACGACATCTCTATTTTGCGATTGTGAAGATGATTATCAACTTCCAAAGACATATTGGCCGTACCAGGAGGCATAGCTTTAGCTATCCGGGCCTGATAAGGTTGAAACCTTTTGTGAGGGGATTTATCAGGAAACTCAATGATTACAGAGTCGGAAGAGGAAAATGGGGGTGAAGATGGGAGATGGGAAGGGGATAAGGTGGGAGAGCGGAGGTCTTTAGGTGAGATAAGGTTAGAAAATACTTATTTGGAGATGATTGAGAAGTTCGGAGAGTTGATTTGGATGAGGTGAAAAAGTGGTCGATTTTTTGTGGTTGAAGTTGAGTTTTTTGACCCGAATGCCTGCCTTGATATGTATTACTTCGTGATCATTCCCCGAGATTTTGTTGAAACTCGACGTGTCACGAGTTAAGACCGGTGAAACTATTGGTGAAACAAGGAAGCGCGTGCAACTGCGCCAACCATAATCCCAACTGCACCACCCACTTCCGCATCATATATCTCAAATCTTAATCATCATCAATTCAAACCTAATCGAGCTGTCAGATCTCGGGTATAAAAGAAGGATCATTCTTGACTCAATTCAATCACCAGTCTTCTCAGGTCTTCCATACTCCCACAACATCAGACTACCTCAATCTCAAGACTCACCCGATCTCTCCCATCAAGGATCAAAACCCTCACTTCAACCTTCAACTCACAAAAAGCTCTATCACCGAACGTCTCCTTCAGTTCTTCAACTTGGTGAGAAATACACGATGAAACACTTTCTCCGACCTTTCTCCATTCAACAACTAACTAGGGAACACGCCGCGGGGTTCCCTAGGAACTCGGACCTGAACCTGAGATAGGCTCTTGGCTGAATCCTTGGAACAGCTTTTGATTATGTACTCAGCTTTGGTTAATCGGTGAATAGGATAGAATGATTGGAATCTGGCTATGATGATGTGAACATGTGAAGTTTGGGTTGTAAATAGTTTCTATTTCGCATTCGTATCCATGATCTCGGTTTCATAACATTCATCTTTGTATATATACATACATGTTTTCTAGAGAGACAGAATCTGTAATGCTATGACAGTTGGTTCTGATTTTGTGATTCTGAATTCGATCGCTTTCTAAGTAAATGTTTTCTAGATAGATAGGAATCTGTAAAGCTAGGACAGCGGGTTCTGATTTTGATCGCATTCTAAGCACACGCAGCAGATAAAACCTGAAAAGTTTAAAAGAAACAGAACTCATGATTCCAGTTTTCGTTTGTGGGGAGTTAATGAAGGGAGCGGTGAATTGCAATGGGGTAATTGAGCAAAGTAATGCGGTTAAGAAGTCTTGGGGGGTGGGGAAAATATCCAACCCTGCACCTATGGGAAACTTCCCTAAACCTAAGGGAACTCTTCAGGTAACTGAAGTCCAAACTGGAAACCGATCTAGACCTAAGAAAGAACAGTATGAGCGATTATGTTTCAAGAATAATTGATACAATGAAATCTATGTTGAACAGTCTACTGACCTCGGAAGTTCCATGACATCGTCGTATTACATCAAGATTGACGACGTTCGTAGTGATCGAAGGAAGATCTGGATCACCCACCATGCAGATCGATAACCCGTTCAAGTTGGTCACTCGGGACAGAGCAACGTAAAGTTGACCATGGCCAAATACAGGTTGAGGTAAGTAAACGGAAACGACTGATAACGACTGTCCCTGAGCTTTGTTGATTGTTAAGGCGAAAGCTACTGAGACTGGAAATTGATATCTTGAAAATGACACGCCATATACGTGGTCGGCTTCATGAGTCAGTTTAAGCTTAGGAATGATTACTTCTCTGCCAACACGACATCCGCTCAGGATTTTGCACCGCAAAGCCTTTGGTCGTATACCAAGAATCAAAAGTCGTGTCCCGTTGGACAGGCCTCTCTTGAGATTTAGATTCCAAAGCAAGATAACTGGAATCCCGACCTTCAATTCCAGCTTCGGTTCAGGGAAACCTGGTAATGAGAAAGTATTCAAAACTTCTTCAGGGACCGCTTCGTCGCTATCTAAACCATCGTCCTCGTTCATCATCTGGTCTACAGAATTGGAGATGAAAACTTGGCCTGGTATTCGATCTCTACAAATCGAGTTGATTTTGGTGACATCGGCGTTCAGCGGTGCCAATATGAGACGCTTGGCGTAAAAATCGGAGATGCTTTCACAGTCGTGATTGTTGAAAAGGTTACCCAGATCTCCGTAAACCTGGTCTATCGCTTTGTTGGTGACGAACGATGAGGTTGGATGCTTGAATACAGTCCCGTATTTTAATTCAACATCAGAAGAAAAATCGGTCTGATTTGATCCGTTCCCAATGGATAACAGCCATTGGTAGAACTCCAAATTAGTTTGCGCAGTATCAGGATCCGAGCTCATCAATCTTTGATTTTGAGTTAGCTGGAACGTGTAGACGTCGTTCCAAATTGGGGAGTTGATCATACAAACTCGCGCCTGATCAAAAATTGATCCCCCTGGCACGACAGGTAACGTTTGCCGGAAGTCACCTCCGAAGATGATCACTTTTCCCCCAAAAGGTCGCTCATCTTGCATCAAGTCCTGGAAAGCTCGGTCAACAGCTTCAACAGCGTACTTGCTCTGCATGGATATTTCATCCCATATGATGACCTTCGCATCTTGGAGTGCCTGAGTCGAGGGAGTTCTACTCTTCCAATTACATTGAGAGGAAGCATTGAGGTCTAGGGGTAACTTGAATCGCGAGTGTGCTGTCATTCCTTCATGTAACATCAGGCCCGCCACTCCTGATGATGCCACTGTCACTACTTTGATGTCGTTTGCATTCAGGTAGTGGATGATGGTGTTCATCAAGTAGGTTTTTCCGCAGCCACCTGGGCCATCGATGTATATCAGACCGGATTCATCGTGGTTCATAAGTTCGATTACAGTTTCCATTATGATTGTTTGACGTTCGTTGAGACACTCAGACATTGATAAGAAACGATCGACATGATCAACAATGACATTGTCATCATCACTTGGGTCCGATTCAAATAGACCTATGTAAGCTACATTGACCCAGTGTAAGACTGGGCCTGGAAATGCACCCATCGACACTTGTCGACTGAGTAACCCGGCAAATTTCAGCCAATCCCGAGTTTTCCAATCCCGAGCCAATCCCGTGGGACTTTACATGTCCTTCGAAAATTACAAGTCCTCGATAGACTCCACACCGCGACTACACTCCAATCTTGAAGCTTGAGGCTCCAGTCTTCCTTGCCTGAGTCCTCCGTTCAACCGCTCATCAGGACATCTTCAACTACGCCTCTCATCACTATCAGGACATCATCGACCACCCCACCCTTCATCCTTCGCACTCACCAGCAAACACCATGCAATCCCATCAATACCCGAGTGGAAGTCCACCTCCGCAAACCCAACATCAAACCTCCCATGACCCTCGATATCGTACTCATCAAAACGTTCATGATCCTCGATATCCTCCTCCCAACCAACAACACCTCTTTGATGCCTACCTGTCTCAGGATCTCCCCTACGAAGAAGTCCAGGGCTTGTACTCGACATACAATATCCAACCAGTTGATCTCAATTATCACCAGGACTCCCTTCAATATGGAGATACTCCTCGATATGCTGATACCGCTCGATATGGCGATACACTTCGAGATGCCGATATGGAACATGACTTGGCGCGGGACGGACTTGGCCATCAAGATCCCCAGCTCCTCCAGAACCAACCTCACACGCCTCGATATGCCGATATGGAACGTGGCTTGGCACGGGACGGACTTGGCCATCAAGATCCCCAGCTCCTCCAGAACCAACCTCACACACCTCGATATGCCGATATGGAACGTGGCTTGGCACGGGACGGACTTGGCCATCAAGGTCCTCAGCTCTCCCAGAACCAACCTCATCAACCGTCACCGTTGCTTGCTAATATAAATCGTCACAACACCCGCGCCTCACAGAACAGTCAAAACATACATGTTTTGAAGTTGGCTCCTCTCACTAGTGTTCCGATAGTCCCCAACCCGGCTCATTCCACTGCAAGAACTCATAGCATGGGCTCTACAGCCTCCCATATTCACGAGACTCCAGTCACCTCAGCCGATTTGTCTCGATTACCTGCTACTCAGCGTGAATCTGATCGCTCTAACGCGACTTCTATTCATGAGACTCAAGACACCTCATCTCGCAGTTCTGGCGTTCCTGACTCTCGATCAATTGTCCCAGGCGATGTACGACGTGCTCCTGATCCTATCCCGGCCCGTTCCCCAAGTCCAGCCATCTCACTCATCAACCCCAGCCCAACTCCTGCGGCAACGACAAAACTGACCCCGGCTGATGTTATGGAAGATTTCAAAAAGAAAACGCTGAGCGAGTTGCGCGATCTTCAACATACTCATATCCGATACAAGAAACTTAACTTAGCAATCAAGATTGAAGCACAAAACCTTTTTTTTGACTATCAAAGAAAGCAGCATCTATTATCGCTCAAATATAGCCGACCTTTCAAACTTCTGACCAAATACCTCGGACAGCGCCGCACCCAACAAAAACAAAGCAACTGGCACAGTTTCCAGAAGACCAACCCAGCGGCCAAGGAGGCTCTCAAAAACAGTGTGTAGCACATTTCCTTATTAATTTTTTTATATTATTGTCTTACTGACAGTGTTGTATGCTTGTTTTGCTGCTAGCCAACAATAACATTGGTCAGCGCAACAAAGACGTCTCGAAGCTCTATAAGCAGCATGCCGGAACCCAAGCTGCGCTTCCCCCTCAAGCCAATCCCAATGCTGACAAAGTCAATGATCCCAATGCCGAAGAGCGCGAACGATTTGGTAAAATATTCAAATCCGACCTAACCCTCCGGAATGAGGTCAAGAAGTGGGGCCAAGGGGTCCAACTTAAGGTCAACTATCTATCTTTGCCTTCTTGACTGTTCATGAAGAGTGTGTGCTGATACATTCTCTTCAATTTCTCATGTCATCATCAGTTAAAGGAGCTCAGTGACTCTTTTGGAGTCGAAGGGTTCCTTGTTCTTGCTACACAGGACCACCGAAAGCCCCTGTTCTTTCAAGGAGGCAGTTTTCTCGGGGATGATTACCTCCGTGCACTCTTGGAAGATGGTAATCCCATGCGCAAGTTTGCTATGTGGACGGCGGGATCGAAAGCGACCTCCAAGAAGAGGAAGAGCAGTGCTTTAGCAGCCTCTGGTAGCAACGAGACCGCTGAAAATGTCGACGATCATCCTTCAAAGAAGAAGACTAAGTATACAGTGGGTGCTTTTGAAAACCGAGATTTTTGCCAAGGTATGTCTCCAATCTGACTTGTGCATATGATTTTCTTGATGTACTGACTACTCTCTATCAATTTATACATTCATACAGGAGGCCTTGCTCTCAACCATACATATATTTCAAAGCAGCTTGGACTACTTTTCAGTAAGCTGTTTTTCCCTTCTTGCTCCTCCCAACAAGTGTTGACTTGTTTCAATCTCATCATCAGAGGCCGCTCAGTCCAAGAATAGCCTTGTGGACAAGCGTAGCCGCTGGCCTGGCACTGAAACAGTTCTCCGACTTGCGCGTATCGATCATAAACTAGTTGTTCATAGCAATCCTGTGGGTCTCTCGGTTGAACATCTTGTCGACGTTCCTGTCAAGAAGATGTCAATTGAGGATACCTGGCTTGTCCTTCGAGGCTTGAAGAACAAGTGGATTGAGTTGGTCGAGCACAAATTTGATTCCCTCCCGAAATCAGTGGCAGTACGCAAACGCAACATGGCAGCTGGGACAACCGCGATCACAAGAGAGGAGGATGACACTGAATGTCAGCCTATGTGATGCCAAGACAAGTGTCTTCTAGCTACACAAGGTGCAAAAACTAAGAGTTTTTATGGTAAAAACTCAGGGACAAAACTGGTATAAGTAATTCAGAAGAATTACGTGAAATTTATGGATTAAATCCAAAAAGTGGCCAATTTATATTAATAAAATTAATATAAATAAAACCAGAGGGGCCTGATAAATCAGGGGTGGTTTAATCCCTCTAAGGTATCGTGCAAAAAGCAGAGGATTTAGGTACCTGGAACACTGGGGCCTGTGAACAGGTGTGGTTTAAATCCCAGGAAGAATTTAAGGGGAAAATCTCAAGAAAAGGGTTATTACTTACTAGTAATAATCCTATGGGGTCTTGAGGATCTTCAATATGGAAACTGGACAGTTGGGAGCGCTCAGAAAGGTTGATTTTGGGTGCTGGGTGGTAACTGTTGAGTTTCTTGAGGAATTTTGAGGCTTTAATAACAGCAATAATAGTAGTAACTAGGCTAATTACAAGTGTAGGAGACTTGTAAATGGTAAGTATGTTTCTATATGGTATTGTAAAGCTGGGGAATCATTATTTGGGCGGTCAGAAGGCCCTTTAAATACCCGTGGAAGGCCTCAGGGGTTGCTCAGGGGAGCTTAGTAGGACTTGGGGGCGCTTTTTGGGCCCATTTTGGCCCACATGGTGATGTAACCAGGGCTGGAACCTTGGGAATAATATTCTAGGTGCTCCAAGGGGTCATGCACGAAATTATTACAGCCAAGAATGTCCCATGAGAACCTGTGGATAGGGGCTACTCTGTTACGTGGAGCAGGTTCCTTGGAAATGGGCCACAGAATATTCCAGAGGTGTCTTCTGAGGCTTGCTACACGTGTTACCCACTGGAATATGGTTACTGTAGTATTTTCATGGATATTCTAGCTTGTTCACATTCTTATTACACGTGTGGGGGCTTTGTTGTCACGTGCAATGGGGATTCTGGGGCTTTTGTGGCCCAATCCTTGGATACTGGTGCGCAGCATGACTACGTGGCACATGGGCTTGGAGACAGGACTCCACACTGCTCTATCTTCTAAACCGTGTACAATACTCCAATTCTGAGACTGGATTTGGAGTATATGCATTATGCATTATGCAGAAGTGTCACAGTACCTGTGATCTGGGGGTACCTGTTAATTATTCGTGCTTGTATTACAGGTTGAAGGAGTTAGAATTTGGGGTACCTTTGGCTGAGGTACCCTAGGTTAAATTGTATGCTGATTCAGAATCTGCAATAATATTCAAGGTTTTGTTTATACTTTTTAAGTTATTAATTTATTTTTATGTATTTTTTATCTTATTTACATAAGTAATATTGTTACTTTTACTTATGTAATATTTTTAATTTATACTTAGATTTTTTATGTAATTTATTATTTTATTTGCTATGACAGGTTGTCTCTGCCATAGTAGCAAGCTGACACTGAAGATGAGGAAGATGATGACGATGAAGACGACGATGATGATGATGATGACGAGGATTAGGATACATTGTGGATGGTGACCATACATAAAAGTGTTCTATATGTTTCCTGCTTTTCAACCGGCTTGCCCTGCTTCAAATGTCTTTTGCTCCACAAAACATGCTTTGCTTATCTAAAATACTCTTCCTCATACTTGTGTCTGTGTGCCTGATTTTCTATCTGCCAGACATGGTCTCATAAAAGTTACCAACAAATAGTTTTCCTTTATTTCTCAATGACTCTAACAAATACATGCATGCTATAACTATTTTACCATCAAACAGTTTCCTTTCATTTCTCAATATCTCTATCAAATATTTGCAAGCTATAACCATCAAATACATGCTCACATGACAGAATCCCTTTGTTTTCTCACATTACTTAGCACATTGAAACATGACATGTTCCCTCTTTTAACAAAGGATGAGGGCCACACCAGATGATCAATTTTTTCAATGGAAGCATTTCAAGTCAACATCTCAAATTCTTCTTTGTTACATGAGTAACATGACTTATAATAGTGATGTTAGCAACAGAGACATGCTTACTGAAGCTAATTACTTGCCACAATCTGGATTTGATGATTAATTTTTATGAAATCTCACTTGGGGTTTGGATAGAGCAAAGCTAACAGCTGAAATGTTTATTTTCTCAATCTTGGGCCATGAGGAATTAATCATTAAAAATATATGGTGTGGTTTGGTTTATCAGTTGCACAATTTTTTATTTTTGGGTCCTTGTACAGAAGATTGATTTCTTCATAAGTTGTTTATGTTTCTCAAGGAAACCAGTGGAATGAATTTTATGGGATTGTTGACAGACTAGCACTCATTGAATATGAAATTATATCACTGTGGCATGAGTCATTTAGGATTTATCAACAGAGGATGCCTTTTTTATTAGTCCTCACAGAATTTAAATTTTAATTGAATGGATGACAGAATTAAATGATCCAAAAAGAGCTGTTATACTTTTAATTCTTTGATCATGTATTGCTCTGAATATATGGGGAATTGAATATACATCCCAAATCAGTGGGTTGTCCTGATCAGCAGGTGTATACACGGGCTGTATGGATAGTAGACAAAAGAAAAATTAGACTGATCATGGACTGATAATCTGTGCTTTGTAATCATCAAAAAGGTTGAGTATTGCTGGAAATGAAAAAATGGAGTATTGCTGTCATGAGATATGGCAACCACCTTGGTTTTTGAAACACACATATTCCAGTCACCATGCAGGAGGATATAGGGGCTGGGTGGATGGTTCCAAGCATGCTAATTGACAAAGAATCCATCTTTTGGAATCATGGAAAAAGGTTGATCAGTTATGTAGAAATGAGATATGGCCACTGGAATATGTCTTTTTGTGAGAAACACACATATTCCAGTCACCAAGTGTTGGTAGGGGCATATGTGGGCTAGATGGATTGTTGCAAGACAAGTATTTTTTGTTCATAATGCTTATGGACAAAGAATTCAGCATTTTGAATCATGCAAAAGGGTTGAGTAATGTAGAAATGACATATGGCCACTGGAATATGTCTTTTTGTGAGAAACACACATATTCCAGTCACCAAGTGTTGGTAGGGGCATATGTGGGATAGAATTGTTGCAAGACAAGTATTTTTTGTTCATAATGCTTATGGACAAAGAATTCAGCATTTTGAATCATGCAAAAGGGTTGAGTAATGTAGAAATGACATATGGCCACTGGAATATGTCTTTTTGTGAGAAACACACATATTCCAGTCACCAAGTGTTGGTAGGGGCATATGTGGGATAGAATTGTTGCAAGAAAAGTATTTTTTGTTCATAATGCTTATGGACAAAGAATTCAGCATTTTGAATCATGCAAAAGGGTTGAGTAATGTAGAAATGACATATGGCCACTGG